CTGGGGTAGGGGCTGTGCACAGCAGACCTTGAGCTTCAGTCTTGTTAATTGGCAATGATGAACAGGACGATCTCTAGAAGTTCTGAGTGGACCAAAAGTATCACAGGCCTGATTCGCATGTTGTTTTTCTTTGGTATGGAAACACCAGGTGAATGATGATTCATCTAAACCAATGTATTTGAGAGTACAACCAAGCTTACGTGTCAGTCTGGAGGATGAGATAATGGTTATGGGAAGGAAGGAAAGGACAGGGAGAGACACAGTGTTCACAAAACCTTTATATGACCTTCTTTGTCTTGACCAATTCAGTTTGTTTGACTCTCCCGTCTCATTTCCCCTTTTGAGCTAGGAGCTGAATTGTACACTTCAGGCCTGTCAAAGGAGAACTGACCCTACATTTAGGTGGGCATTAGTCTGTGTCATTATGTGTCCCAATGAAGTGCCCTAAGCCTCTCCCTTAAGAATCTAGTTGCATTTTGCAGCAGAAATGCCGACAGGACTCTGCCACAGTGATTCTGAGGGCATAGGACTTTATGCCACATGAAATCCCATCAAACTCAGCACAGGGCATAAAATTCTGAGCTGTTTGGTTTTTGGATTGCTTGGATAAGGAGAAATTCAGCAAGTAGTAAGGTTTTCCAAGATTTTGCAAGTTTTATTGAAGAGTGAAATGATCAAGAGCTCTTCCTGGTATCTCTCTTGTGCCAACCATGCTTTGAAACTACCAGGAATTCTTTGTGCGTTTGAAAGCAAAATAGTTGCTCCAGAATCAAAGCACCATTTCACTACCAATGGATGCATGACCCCGCTTTCTTCTATGCGAATGTCAAATTAAATGCAGCTCCTCTATGTGGATCCCATAAATAGATATATATTCTGACCACTGGGAGAATAATCCTGGCCAGTAAAGGGAATCATATCCTTCAGTAGGGCCGTAAAAGCTGCCTGCAGACAAACGGGCACTCTCAGAGCATCAGATACTACTGGGAAGTCTAAGTTGTTTTCTTATTCTTTTGAGAAGACAAGACGTGCTTTGTTGGGCTTGTGAGCCAACACTTCACTGGTGTCAGTGAGTAATATTCGACTGATGCTTTAGAAGGAGACAATTAAAATCAATACAGTGAATAACAAGTGATGATGGTGATGTAACCAATTAACAATTATTTTATGCTCTCAGGGACCATTTTCATTCTGCCACCTGAGAGTTCTCCATCTTCCGTAAATAAACTAATACCTCTCTTTCTCCTTCTCTGACTTCGATTGCTTGGCTCCAGACCCAGATTTCCAAGGCTGCATAAAGTGTCTAGGGCACATAGTTCCTCATTCTAATCTGTAGTATAAGGATATAATAGTTGATGACGAAGTTGGTCTAGTAGAGACAAGAAATCTCAGGACAGCCTAGCATGGGGCAGGGACTGAGCCTGCAACTTTGCTTTTGGAAAGACTGTGCAGTGCACTACAGGCTTGCCTTATGCTTTGTGTGGCTCTGCAACTCTTTAACAGGCAGCACTCATCTGAACCCCACATGTGCCACTTCTAGGTAAATGGGGGATATTGTTGGAGCACGAGACTAGGTCTGCTCTGATGAATGAGAAGAAAGCTATTCTCCCTAAGCAATATGCGCCATGAACTGTGGTGTCTCTGAAACGGAGATTATGTTTTTTCCTCAAAGGGATGGTATTGCCACCGCAGGATGTGCTGTGAAGAAAGGAGGCCAGCTATACAATAGCGTCAGAACTGTAATTCAGAGCACAGACTGTTCCAGAGAAGAGTATATTACCACTGGACAGTTTTTTCTGTTTCTATCCAATATTCTCTATTCAGTAATACAACAGAGCTTTTCCTTCTCTTAGGTGAGTCCCCTTCCTCTCTGAAGTTTAGCACATTGGAGGATGTACTTAGTAGCAAGCATCTGTTAACTACCATATTACCTCACTACATACTATTCTTTCAGGAAATGCAATTTCTCATTTGAAAAATTCATTTGAAAAGATCATAATTTCTGTGGTATACAGGGTTTCCTACTTGAGGGTTTTGAGTTCTTCACCACTGGCCATAGTCAGGAAGAAGGTTGGCTCACATAGATGAAATTTCTGGTGTTTGTTACTCTCTGAAATTGCCCTAATTTGACAACTATGCTACTTCATTGTGGTGACTTCGACATTTCCATGATCTTCCAAGATGAATCACTTACTGTAAACCATGCATCTGCAGTCCATTTAGTAGATTTAATTGCAGACCTCAAATATGAGGGGAAAATACTTGTTTTATTTATGGGCTGTATAACAATAGAGCCATCAGGAGAAGCTAGCGTTCTGTGCAGAGAGAGACCTCAAAGTACCTTCTTAATGGATGACAGCATGAATGCAATTCATTAATGTAGAAGATGTTATTAATGGGTGTAAACAAGAATCTCCGGGTTTTAGCGGAAGTGTTCTACTGTTCTGGTGGCTGAGGCCAAGACTGTGTCTGTTACATTCCACTGAAATTTCCCCAGACCCCATGATGAGTGCAGTGTATGAGGAGAGAAATAATTACACTTGCCAGGGAATTACTTTCATAATTCACCCACAGCTCTGCTCTGTGCAAGTTATAACTCAGTTGGTTTTCACGGCACCTCCACACTGCTGACAGAGAAGCAGGATCGCACTATGCACATCGAA